ATAATCCATCACTAATCTGGTGTGTTTATAAGCTGTTTTAAGCGTTGTGCTATAATTTTCAGGAGAAGACAATAAATCACCATTTATTAATAAGTGCATTTCCTCTCAGCATTTCATTTTTTATACCAAAGCACAAGAGATTTCTTGCTCTGCTACAGCAATGGAGTTCTCCACGGCAACCAAATATCTCTGGATCGGTTGATGTGTATTTGCTGCCATCTAGTGGTTTAAGTGGGAAGTACATCGGTTTTGCAGTGCAGTGTTTAAACCATAGATGACACTGTGGAGTAAGTTTTCACCTCTGGTTTTAGTTTAGTGATGTTTCAGAGAAGTCTATGTGGGGATGAGGGGGATCTGCATGACAAGGCCACTAGATGTCAGCAGCAAGTTGGGTTTTTTGTAATAAACTTGCTGGAAGTGTTATAAATGATTAAGGTTGGTACATTGCATTTTCATTTGAATGCTTCAGTTTATTTTTGTCAATGCAATAAAGTACTCAAATGACAGAGGAAGGAAGAAAAAAACAAAGAAAAACAATAAAACAAGATACATTGCAGTCGACTTGTGTGCATTTTTTCTAAATATACTTTATTATAACTCTATCCAGTAAGTGGTATAAAAATTAAAGGGATAGCTTCCCTTGAATAATTCATATCACACAGTACCTTCAATGGCACTGATGGATTATTACACATTTTGGTCAAATCATTTTTTAAACATTCATAATCTACTTCAATATTACAGTATTTAGCTTGATCTCAATTTGTTATTGCCTGGGACATGTGTTGTGAAGGACTATCAGCTAACACCCCAATTTATGTCGGTTTTTGTGGTGACCAGTATGATTGACTGTGGTGATCATCTTGAATTGTGTTGACTTTAAAAGCAGTTCAGTTGTAGTTGCAACGCATGCGACTCTCTTCAGGTTTCATGCAAATCAATCCACAGGTTTGAGATAAATTTGTTAACACAAACAGGGTTGACCCCAGCTGTTGATACCAAAATGTTCAACAAAGATGTTGGCCAATGTGCAGTGCTCAAAGTATGTATAGATGTGGTTACTTGAAGTAATCAGTTGTAGATGTATTTCTAATGAGTTCCAAACATATATATATAT